CACGACCCCGACTCGTGGGAATCGAACCCAGGAGCTTCAGTCTCACACACGCAAATGCTTAACTGCTAGACAACTGCTGAGCCAGCTGGCATCCAACAGTGTTCACGTCTAACTTTGATCAATCTAAGGTTCTGTGCAAGCTCACTCATTGTCTCCTGGAGGTGAGTGCCTACTACACTTAACAAGGTTAAACTACATTGAATACACACACCGTAGCTGCTACCTTGACGTGGTGGTCGGGCTTGCCTATCGTGATGACCCAACCGAGCTATACTGGCTGGAACATATGTTCCTGAAGGTTCTACCATGCCAGGCAGGTCGATTGGAGAACGATGAGACTGAAAGCAGCTACCCAAGGTCTGAGGGCGAAGTCGTACTGCTGACTGCAGAGGGGTGTGACAGCAGTAAGGTGTTTCCCTCAGACAACCAGCATCTGCAGCGATGCTGCCTTCTCACAAGGAAGGAAGGGTTAGAAAAGGTCGGCCCTAAAAATGTCACACCTCCCCTAACTCACGGATTTCCGTCTCCTTGGGTAAGGGTGCCCACTGGGCCTTTAAGAACGGAGCTAATCCTCAAAAAACATCTGATAAAAAGGCCATGCGTGACTGGCCTGAAGCAGTTGTCCCTTGGACTCTGCGGTCACGCAATCAGGTCTCTAAGACCAACGCTAATCTATCTTCCTTTTCAGGTTCCTCAAGAAACAACCTTCCACGGTGTGGGCAGCCGGGAAGGGACAACCGCCCTCATACCCATAACAGCACGCGAGGCCGAATTGGTCAAAATCAAATCCTTCCTACACCCCCTTGTACCTCTCTTATCTCCACGACTAACTCTTCTCACATTCATTCATCACAGTGCACAGCTAATGCAGACGATACGAGTTTGCGAAACGTCGTTCCTGGTCTCCTTAAACCCCGTTCCAAACTACATGTTGGAGCATTCAATGTACGGACATTGTGTCAAATAGGGCAACAGGCTTCCTTAGCTAGGACTTTAGAATCTCGTGCCATCGATGTATGCTGCGTCTCGGAAACGCGCATACAGGATCCGAGTCACGTCATACACTTGACCACACCATGTCAAAATAAAGAAGCAGCTCGATTTACTCTTCGTGTATCCGGTAGCCCTGATGCTGCTTCCCGGGGTCTTGCTGGCGTAGGCATAGCATTGAGTCCTAGGGCAGAACAATCTCTCCTTGACTGGATCCCTGTAGATAGTCGCTTGTGCGCTGTCCGACTAAACGGGACGGTAAGGACTCGGAAAGATAGGGACAATCGCCGTTGCCTCTTCATCGTATCTGCCTATGCCCCCACTGAATGCAGTTCAGACGAGGTTAAGGATGAGTTTTACAGAAAGCTTTCGGACCTCCTCCAAAAAGCTAGGCGCTCTGATATAGTAATAATGGCTGGTGACTTTAATGCTCAAGTAGGTAGACTAAGTGAGCAGGAGAGACACCTAGGTGGATGTTATGGTGTAGCGACTGAGAGAACAGACAATGGTGACCGTCTGTTGCAAATATGCTCAGACAACCGCCTATTCTTAGCAAACACTAACTTTAGGCATAAGGAAAAGCATCTGTTGACCTGGCGACCTCCAAAGTCGTCTCAACGTTGGACTCAACTAGATCACATTGCCATCAGCCAGCCATGTCGGTAATAGTCGACTACCTGGTTGGGGTCCGCGAGATGATAATAATCGATGGTTAGATACCTTGATTGAGATGGCTCAAAATCGTTTGCAATGGTTCAAGGGCATCCATTCGTTGTGTTCTCTCAAATCCTAATCTTCTGAGTTCTTCAACACCTCTAGTTTTTACTTTCTAAACTTTTCTCATTGAATCATACTTCTTGAATAATATCTTCGAATCCTAACCTCTCCGATTACTTCTAATACCTTTACTACCTCTTCTACTATTGGATTTGAATTGACAATTATATCTCTGTGCTGATGTGGTATGGCGACATGAACTGATGTACTTACGTACGAAGTTCTACGTTGCAACTGACTGACTGACTGACACACACTACTGAAGAGTCTCATACTAGGATGAAACAGTTGTCTTCCAGTGCTTACAGGTTTCTAATAGTGTGTTCTAACGATGATTGATTTGTGTGGTGCATGAATATTTCGATATCCCTTTGTACCAATGTTTATGTGTTTTTTGAATAAATAAACAAATGGCGAGGTGATAATTTATGAACGGGCCAATCAGATTCAAGATGAAGAGTCTTGAATGTTGTACGCCAAATTCATTTATGCATATAGCTAAACAACTGATGTCCGTTCATGATGATCAACAGCTTAATTCCTAACAGGCGACAAATGATCAGAAAACTTGTGAAGTTCTTATTACTTACTTACTTACTTACGCCTGTTACCCCCAATGGGGCATAGGCCGCCCACCAGTTTTCTCCAACCAACTCTGTCCTGGGCTTCCCTCTCCAATTCTGTCCAATGTTTGTTCATTCCTCTCATATCTTTCTCTATTTCTCGGCGTAATGTATTCTTTGGCCTTTCTGTTTTCCTTTTGCCTTGAGGGTTCCATGTGAGGGCTTGTCTCGTGACGCAGTTAGGTGCTTTTCGTAGTGTGTGTCCTATCCACTTCCACCACTTCTTCCTGATTTCCTCCTCCATTGGAATCTGGTTTGTTCTCTCCCACAGTACTTTGTTGCTGATGGTGTCTGGCCAACGAATCCGAAGTATTTTGCGTAGACAACTGGTAATGAATACTTGTATCTTCTGGATGATGGCTTTGGTAGTTCTCCAAGTTTCCGCTCCATACAGTAGAACTGTCTTGACATTTGTATTGAAAATCGTGATTTTGGTTTTGTTTGAGAGTTGTTTGGAGTTCCAGGTATTTTTCAACTGTAGAAATGCAGCCCTTGCTTTGCCAATCCGCGCCCTGACATCTGCATCGGATCTACCTTGATTGTCGATGATGCTGCCAATATATGTTTTGAAGGATGCTTTAATGATCCTGGGTCCATGAGATTCCTATCCTATCAGTGCCTTTTGTGCATGTTTGGACAGCATCAGTGCAACTCCTTGTACATGTGAAGCGTTTTCCTCTTCATGACCAGAGTATAACAGCAGTTCCCCTGAAGCTAGTCTCAGTTGTCCTACCTGTGTCCAATGTGTTTCACTGATTCCAAGCACCTCGAGGTTGTATCTTTTCATTTCTGTCACAACTTAAGATAGTCTTCCAGTCTCCCACAATGTACGAACGTTCCGTGTACCTAAAAGAATGGTTGCTCTGGTTGTCAGAAGAGGCATCGGCCCCGTGACTTCCGAGGGAACTCGGCTTTCATCACGCGACGTCATAATTCTTCCTCCAACTCCCAGGGCAGAGTTAAAATTGTTTGAATTATTTTTTCTGGTTAGCGTTTTTTGGAAAGTTAGTTTTTGACGGAATGGGGTCGCCAACCCCATGTCCAACCCTCCTCCTTTACCCGGGCTTGGGACCGGCAGTAGCCCCGAAGGTTCTATTGGCGGAGTTGAAGTTCTTATTACCAGTCAGAAATAATAAGGTCATCTAAACTAACTCATCTGATGATGATTTTGATGATTATGGTCTATAGAGTAGTGACAAATGAAAACTTTCTAGTGAAATCATCATCTAATTACGAGAAGATAACAATATCAAAGATGAAGTACACTTGTTTTTATTGCCTACAAAGATATATTTTATTTGTACTATTATAATATTCTAGCTTTTGAACAAACCAGTTAAGATTCGCCTTTTTCGAGTCCATTGTACACACATGCACACACACACACATAGATTGATTTTGTCAATTAGTCGTTCATCTCCTTGACTGCTTTTATTTGGACCGGTGTGTGTGTATGTGTGTGTATGAGTGTATGTATCTCTTACTCTGTTCATCGCATATATTTATGTTATTCTTATATGGTTATGATTAGTTAATCACACCTTATATGATGTGATGTAATGGCGTTGGTACACTCACCTTCTTCTCTACTTTTCATCCTAACGTTTGTCATCTGCATAATCGATTACTTGACAAAATTGTTCCGCAGTTCATCCGTATTTGGCCTTTTATTACCACGATCTGTGAAAACAGATCGAACCTAGATGTATAATATGCTGCATTGAGTGAAGAAAGATCCATTTTCAATGGTAAAATTCAATTCTCTTGTCTAAAATAGAGTGCTCACCGTAGCTGCTACCTTGACGTGGTAGTCGCGCTTGCCTACTCGTGATGATCCTAGCCGAGCTATATTGGCTGGAATATATTTTCTTTGAGATCCTCTCATGCTAAACAGGTCGATTCGAGAACGGTGAGACTAAAAGCAGCAACTTAGGGTTTGAGTATGAAGTTTTACTGCTGACCGTAAAGAGTTGTGACAGCAGCAGTAAGGTGTTTCCCTTGGACAACCGGCATCTGAAGCGATGCTGCCTTCTCAGTAAGGAAAAGAAGCGGTTAGAGAAGGTCGGTCCTGCAGATTTCACTCTTCGCCTTATCCCATGGATTTCCATCTCCGGCGGTAAGGCCATTTGAAGAGCGGAGATAACACTTCAAAAACTTCCCGTAAAACGGACATGAGTTACCGGCCTGAAGCAGTTGTCCATTAGGCTATGCGACCACGCTCCCAGGTCTCTAAGACCAACGCTAATTCAATTTCCCCTTCAGATTGTACTCCATATTGTAGGAAGCTGAGAAATGACATCCACCCTCATATCCCTGACAGCACACTAGATCATTGTGGTCACAATCAGATCTTTCCTACAACTCCTAATAATTCTTTTACCTCCTCGACCAACCCTTCTTTCATTCCCTTTCGTGACCTCACGCCGCTGGTAATGCAATCGATTTGAGTACACATGACATTATTCCTTACCACCAGAAACCACGTTCTAAACTACATGTGTGTTGGAGTTACAGACTGGCTGATTGATCGATATTTATTGCAGTATTATGTTGTCACTCTATTTTCTATCCTTACTCTTCTTTCTCTTGTAGAATCCTTCAAATATTAAAATGTATCAAGAAAAAACACGTACAACAACAACAACAACAACAACAACCAAAAAACCCGTGGTTGATTCATTCATCAGTCGGAAATTTACCTCTTCAAATAAAAATGATCACACATCCAATAAATCTTTAACTACTAATAATCATCACAAACAATCTATTACTGTCAACATCAATAATAATGATACAGATGTCGATACAGATACAGATTTATTATTTGATGATTTGAAATTTAATGTCCTGTCTGAATCAAATGTAAGTTGTTGGTATTATTATTTTCTTCTTTTCACTTTGTATTGCATTCATGAACACTTATAGTACTGACTCGAACACCACTGGTCGAGTGAGAGCATATGGCGAACTGTCATCTGAATTCTCTACATCAAGTGGTGTCCGTCAGGACTGTCCACTCTCTCCATTCTTGTTTAACTTTGTCGTAGACATCCTCTTAGAGTTAACATTAAAGCTCGTCAGATTTTTCAGGAGTTGACCTTCTACCAGGTGGCTCGCTTACTGATCTAGAATATGCCGATGACATAGTTCTATTCGGTGAAGACGTTGACAAAATGCAGAGTCTTCTGACTATCATAAGCAACAATGCAAGCATGTTCGGGATGTGGTTCTCACCCTCGAAATGCAAAATGTTGCTTCAAGACTGGGTTGCATTATCGGCACCTGAACTAGTGATAGGGAGTGAAGTAGTCGAACGTGTTGATCACTACACTTATCTGGGGAGTCTCATCAGTGCCGATGGCCTGGTGACTGACGAAATCTCAGCTCGGGTACAGAAAGCTCGATTGGCTTTTGGCAACCTGCGTCACTTATGGCGTAGGCAAGATATCCGTTTGCTGACTAAAGGACGAGTGTACTGTGCAATAGTTCACTCCTTCCCACTTTATGGCTGTGAAACATGGGTAGTCAGAGTAGAAAAAATTCGTCGGTTATTGGTTTTCGATCATACGTGTCTTCGAAGCATTGCTGGTGTACTGAGTCATCAATGCTGTTGTTAGCA